TCTCTTATCAGCAGTTAGGCATCATGGGATTGTTTTGAAACTACTGTTCATGTACAAGAACTGTAAAGAACTTGTTTTGCTGTAGCTTTAAAAACGGTTCTTAAATCCTTGACAAGGGAATGTTGAGGTGACGTAAGCCATGACACCTTCCCTGGTTTTGTGTGTTCAGTGGATTGTGAGAACAATAGGATTGGGATTACCGCTGTTGCTAGGGGCCCGAGAGTTGGTTCTGACTCATAGCAACCTTGAACAGGGCTTCTGAGGAGGCTGGTGGTTTGAAGGCCCAAGCAGTACTACAGCGCCACACCAGAACTCTGGGGTTGGGACAAGGAAATGGATTTGTGCCCCTCGTTTACCACTTCCGTGTGGTGTCGTTTTAGCTTATCTTGTTGTTGTTGTTAAGTACCACCTAGTTGGTTCCAACTCAGAACGACCCTGTTATAGGATTTCCGAGGAGTGGCTGGTGAGCTTGAACTGCTGGCCTTGCAGTTCAAACTGACCTTGCAGTCCAGAGCATTAACCCGCAGCACCACGCCAGAAATCCTAATGCCTGTTGTTGTTGTTGTTGTTGTTGTTGTTGTTAGGTGCCATCGAGTTGGTACCGACTCATAGCGACACTATGCACAGCGGAACGAAACACTGCCCGATCCTGGGCCAACCTCACAATCGTTGCCACGCTTGAGTCCATCGATACTGTCTCTTGGCCAATCCATGTCAGAGGGGGTCTTCCTCTTTTTCTCTGACCCTCCACCTTACCAAACATGATGTCCTTCTCCAGCAACTTGTCCCTCTTGACAATATGTTCGTAGTATGAGAGACGAAGTTTGGCCATCCTGGCCTCCAAGAAGTACTCTGGCTGCACTTCTTCCAAAATGGATCTATTGGTTCTTTTGGCAGCCCATGGCACTTCCAAGAAGTACTCTGGCTGCACTTCTTCCAAAATGGATCTATTGGTTCTTTTGGCAGCCCATGGCACTTTCAATATTCTCCTCCATGCCTATACACCTGGTATTTCCAGGTGGTCTCCCATCCAAGTCCTAACCAGGCCCGACTCTGCTTAGCTTCCAAGATTAGACAAGATGGGAGGTATTCAGAGTGGTATGTCTGCAGTTATCTTGTTGTTGTTATGAGCCGTGGAGTCAGTTCC